AATTCGGAAAAGCATACAATCTACGAACCCGGAAACGCTCTGCTTGACAATGAAAATTACTCAGTGTTGACCAGATGTTACGCTTCACCTCGATTCCACCAGAGAATACTAAAAGCTGAAGCACTGAGTTCCCTTTATCCATTTCATCAATACATAAAGAAATCAAATGTCGCGGGATGTTAACATTTCGTATAATCATCTCAGTTACTGACAAACAGGCAGCAAACAGGTCATCCGTTGCAAAACATCTGATGACAGCAAGACACACAGTTGACCTCAATTCGTCTTTTAAACCACCATTACGTAACCTCAATGCTAAACTGTTGGCAATTAGGCAAGCATTACTTATTCGATTACATCACCCGACCTTATGCGTGCAAACGCTTTTGATACAATCAATCCACTTACCGTGGAGTTGACCTTCTACTTCTAATTTTAGTAATTTTTGTATACTTGTAAGCGTTCGTTCACCATAATTGATTAACCCCGTGTGCTATAGATGTGCCAGCGATTGAGAAGATTAAACGAAATATTAACATCGCGCGACATTTGTCTTCTTTCTGTATTGATGAACTATTGAAAGTAATATTTGAACAGGCAAGTCAGAAGACAAACACTACGAGAGGAATTCCTTTTGTATACTCTCATCGGTCGCGTACGTATAATCGAACAAGATAGACAAATGAAGCGAATTAAGAAATCTAGTTAGTATTAACCATGTGTGTGTGTGATTGTGTACAGTGTGTGTGATGCACGTGATTGGTTACAGTCAGGGAAATACAAGGGTAAAGATCATACGTTTTTGGATGCACAGTGCGGGTTTATTGTGAGCGATCGATTCTCGAGGTATTATCGATCGCTCACAATAAACCCGCACTGTGCATCCAAAAACGTATGATCTTTACCCTTGTCCTTCCCTGACTGTAACCAATCACGTGCATCACACACACTGTACACAATCACACACACACACACATGGTTAATACTAACTAGATTTCTTAATTCGCTTCATNTTATACGTACGCGACCGATGAGAGTATACGAAAGGAATTCCTCTCGTAGTGTTTGTCTTCTGACTTGCCTGTTCAAATTCATTACGGGATCCAAAAGTAATATTTATTTTCTCACTTGGTAGTTGTTTTCCCACAGCTTACTAGGTGGCATTATGAGCAATTCGCACCCTCGAAATACATTTCCTTCCGATGGTCAACTTCAGTATGATGGACGTCAGAGCTACGCACCCTTTGTTAAAATCATGTTCATTTGCTTCATTCCAAAAAGGAGGGATGAAGATGAAACTACTGCAGATATCCGTATAAGAGCTTTTGTATAAACTCCTTTATCGTTGTTCAGTCAAATACGTATCCGAAAGAAATTCGCCGGAGAACTAATTCCGGTCGTCCTTTTCAGTTCACTTTGTACAATGGTGCAATTTCGTGCGTCTGTTTTGATTGCTGCCTTTTCGCTGCTCATTTGAAAGAAGGCATAGTAGGAAAGTT